ACTCTCCCCCCATACCCACGCCCCTCCCTCCCAAGGACGCCCCTCTCACGCCCCTGTCTCCCCCGCAGGTGATCGGCATCTTCTGCATGGCCTGCGCCGCCCCGGCCTGGGACGAACGGCACACACTGGTTCCTCTTCGTCGTCGTCACAGCCTTCGTGTCGACGGCCCTGTGGTGTTTCATCTACCTTCTGAACCTGAAGAGCGCCATCAACCTCCCCATCGACTGGCTCCTCACTGTGAGTGATCGAGGTCGAGGGAAGACTGGAAGGAACGGGGGAAAAGAAGAGGGAGGCGAAGGGGGGGAAATATGCATTTGTTTTTTTCATGTTTTTTTTTTTCCTTTTGGGGATGATCTCCCCTGTCATGTTTGTTGATATGTGTTGAAATATTCATATGTGAATTTTGAAATATGGAAAATATTCGTATATAGATGTTGAAATGTGTATATTTTTTTTGGATTATTTCACTTCGCTTTGATAGCCAGCCAGGTCAGTCAAGATACAAAATAGTTCTGTGTTACTGATTTTTTTTTAGCCATAGAAGTTGATGACTTAGATAGAAACTGTAAAAAAAAAAACAAAATTTCAGTACAAATTCTATTCACATACTGTAGAATCTGCTCTCATTTTCAGTCCAATTACCCCCCAAAAAACAGATTTCCTTGCCATATATATATAATATATTTTTTCTTCTCTCCAATTAGAGAAACACTAATTTTTAGAGTCCATACCCCCTTGGCCTAACCACAGCTTCGTCATGTGGCAAAGGACTTTGAGAGTTTCTGAGTTGAAATTCAAACTAGAGATTTTTTGTGTCACCTTTTTGAGTGGCGAGTAATACAGGAAATGAGTAGGTGCTTGCAGAAGAGCTGATGCTTTTGTGGAGCTAATCTTTGTAGCGACCTCAGTGAGTATTTAATAGCGTAGTAACTAGGGGGAGATAGATTTCGTGCAAGGAAGGCGTTAATGTTAGTCTATGGTGCTGTATATATTTTCTAGTACACATATAACGACATACATTAACGTACTAAACATAATCGTAATATGATATGATATATTACTGTAATATCATATAGTGTGAGTATATGTATTATATTTTGTACCGTGATTGCATGTTGATATGTAGTAATTTCAATACATAATACGTATTATTATAACAGTATAATATTTAATATGTTATATATATAATATATATTATAGTATATGATAATATATACTATATATATATTAATATATATATATATATAAAAAATATATATAAATATATTATATATATTAGATACATCAATACATAATATATATATAATATATGATGATGTATGTATTATCTAAATATATATAATTATATTAAATCATATATATATATATATATTATATATAATAATACTTATTAAATTTATATATGTTGTATAGGTATGTATTGTATATATATAATGTGTTACGTGTGGTTGTAGTAGATTTATATGAGGTCAAATGTTATATGTATATATTTTAATATTATATATATTAATTAAGATATATATTAAATATATATTATTATATAATATTATATATAATATATATAATATATTATATTGAATTAATTGTTTATATGTATTAATATATATATAATTATTAATGTTATATATATTGTATATTATATATGATGATATATGTGATATTATATATATGTATGGTATTAATAGTTTATTTATATAATATATGTGATTATTAATGTATATATAATATAGTAAATAGATATTTGATTATATAATTAACATATATGTGTATTATTATATATATTAACACATAATATATATATATATTATATAACTATATATAATAATATATATATTATTATATATATATATACCTATATTAATATAGATATATTATATATAGTATTATATTATAGTATAATTTATGTGGTGTGTGTGTAGATGTGTGTGAGTGTGTAGTGTTGTGTGATGCGAGGTATGTGATGTTTATCTGTGTGATATATATTTCATATGTATTTGTTACACTATATATTATTGTAGTGTTAGTTGTGTTAGTAGTGTTTTGTGTGTTTGATTGTTTTATTATGTATGTATATGATGTTGATGTGTGTGTGTTATTTTTATATATACACACGCAACACATGCAAACGCTAACCGCAGCTAATACGCCATACATTACGTAACATGAGTACACTATCAACTAGAGTCTAATAAACATCACGCCATATAACGCAAAACGCTCATAATGCAATTACGTATCAAACTTGCACGCAACATTCAACCACTATACATATACATACATAATCTTACCAAAAAACACACACACACACACAAGGCGACCAAACGACTACACAGCACACATCACAACACACATACGCAGCCACAAGAAAAATTTAATCAATCATATAATATTTTTATGGTGGACAAATATAAATATAATATACCTCAGTAATACATTTATACCCTACTTAATTAGCGATATACTATACATATACATATGGTCAACAAGCTATTACGCTCGTATGATCGGTCTTGCGTGTGTATCAATAGTGTGGGTGTGAGATGCAGATACGTAGTTTTACCATAGGTAGTGAAGCTATTAAATATAAAGTGTGTGAATAGGCAATGTGTAAAATTATAAAATATGATCAAAATCTCCTCTGGTCATCACTGTAGTGTAACACTACTCTTACCCTAAGAATTCTACACTAATAAAGAATTTCTCAGTCTCGAGCTGCGCCATACCCTATTACTTCTATCAACTAATCTTTATAAATTAAGCTACTCATAGACAGAGGGCGTGGCATAGTAGATCACTTAATGGAAGCGTGCTATCACTATATAAGTCCTATAATTCCGTAAACAAATCCATAGTTCCATTTATAAATTCTCTTCGATTATGAACCTTAGATCTAATTAAGTTAAATACCACTCAACGTACAGCATTTCTTGCCAAAATCACTCGAGATATAATCTCGGTATATATCTACATATCTGTAAATCCGGTGAGTTTGATTATTTATATTAATAGGAATATTATTGTGAGTATATATACTATATATATAATATATTGTATATATATGTATATATGATTATGATATGTAGCTACCGACTGCCGAATAAGATATTCGTATAATATATACTGAATCTATTAGTAAAAATAATAGATAATTAAATATGCATATTTAATTGAGGTTACTTAACGTAAAGATATCTAATACCTAGAGCATATAATATTAAGATGAATATAAGTATATACTAATCAGATAATATAATGAGTGTTATAACAGATATTGACCTTATTGCTATAGCATCTATAGTTAATTCATGAAAAGTATCAAATTTGTTCGGCTCTTGCCATCAATTTTTAACTAAAACGGTATATATACTGTAATATAATTGCTAAATTGAATTGTGGAAATAAATTCACCCTACCAAATATATTAGAATCTATATTCTACCAACTTAGTAAAATATCATCATCAAAAGTGATGGAGCTTACCTATAATTATGTGTTACCTCAATATTATCCTAAGGTATCAGTGAAGAAGTTAACAAGTCTCAGATATGTAATAGTCATACACCTATATACAATCATCACCACTTTTAAATTTAAAAGATAGAGTTGAATACCTCTGTGGTAAATTAGCTTATATTATATATTATATATATATATATATATATATATAATATATATATATATATATATATATGTCTACATATATATCCGCACCAGATGTCACAACAAAATATCACATTTAAATGACACAGAGCATGTTAAATCACCACAAACCTTCACAATTCACAACCTCACCTCAGATGCACCTGCAACCCCGAAATCTCACGGAATGATTCCATGTCATTTCAAAAAACACAAATAAACTAACTTAACACACAGGTTACATTCTGAAAAGGGTTTTGTGTGCGTGTGTGTGTGTGTATGTGTGTGTGTGTGTGTGTGTGTGTGTGTGTGTGTGTGTGTGTGTGTGTGTGTGTGTGTGTGTGTGTGTGTGTGGTGTGTGTGTGTGTGTGTGTGTGTGTGTGTGCGTTTGCGGTCATGTGTGTGTGCGTGGTCGTGTGTGTATGTGTGTGTATGCGTGTGTGAATTTATTATGTATATACACACATAGACATACATAAATAAATAAATAAATAAATAATATAAATATAAATGAATAAATAAATAAATAGATAAATATATATATATATATATATAATATATATATTATATATATATATATATAATATATTTACATACATACATATAT